ATCATACGATATGTGAGAATGGGATGGTAGTGCCAGAGTTGTCTGTGCAAATTACTTCAAGGATTTCTCTTTCGTTATATTCCAAATGAAAGTCTTTATTTATATTAGAAGAAGTTATTTGTGGTGTTTTTGTTATTGGCAACCTCAGTTATGCTGTAGCTCGGCAGCTGTCCTTGGGTTCCCAGAAATTCGCCACTTCGTTTTCATTTGATCTTTGTGCGCTTGAAGTTGATTGTGATTGTATTATTGTGTTAAAATTACTCCTTGTAAAGAAGGGTTTTATTGCGTCTGTCTTTCAGATGAAGCCCACAGGCTTACGTATTTAGAGGATTTATTGCAAATGCCTTATAACCGTTTCCTTAAATATGTCTAATATACAATTCTAATCAATGTAGTTTACTTGTTTTTGTGCAGATGTAACTGACATAATTGGTTTGTGCATTGTTCGTTTCTGTTTTATTTGGATAAAAGATGTTGATTATTTACCTATTACACAAAAAATTTCAATTTTAAATTACTGGTTGTAATAGCAATGACATTTGGTTCCTGTAATTGTTTATGGACATTAACATCTTGGACGGCCCGGTTTTGTTCTTCATTATGTAGGGTTGATGGTTGATAGCGCTACAGGATTACTTGTGTAGCTTCTCTAGAAAGTGGACTGCAGATTTGTCCGGTATTTAAACTGTGGTGCCAAGATTTTTTAGGCGTTGATAAAATTGCTTGGAAGTTTGGAACTGGGTGAGTGAGCGCTTAGTGGCAACAGTTTGGTGGGGGCACGCATAGCCGCAAAAGCAAAGTTAGTTTGCCATTTCCAATTTCATATTCGGTGTGTGAGGGAAGTTTGCATAAATTTGTAAAAGGCGGAAGGTTAGGGCTTGTATCGACAGCTATTTGTGATAGATCGGATTAAGAAACTTATTGATGAGTAGAAGTACAATTAAATTTGTATCAGACAGCTGGAAAAATCGTTACCTGAGTAGGTATTTAATTGACCAATCAGTTCAATCGCAAAATTACTGGAGAATAGGAGTTATAGTAGGTGTTAATCAAAGCCGCAGTGCAGAGCCAATTTGAAAATTTGCAAATAATCACTTTTTTTTTGCTTTAGCAGCAAACGTTATTTAGGTTTTTTCTTTTTTTTCGAAACTCAATAAGAAGATTAGTTTTTGTTATATTTCATTTGAAAATTTTAAAGAGAAGAGAGATCTTTGAATAGCAAGAATTCTTTTTCATATCATTTCATTAAAAGTATTTTCTGTTATTGATTATCTTTTTCAGCAGAATTCCCCTCTTTTTTTGCAGTGATTTTCTACCTTTTCAAGTTTTTTATTAGAGTTATTTTAAGGGTATCAAGAACGGCCCTTAGCCGAGCTTTTCGGCTGGACAACTTAGAAAACTTTTTTTTTCACATTTGTATGCAAATGAATGGCTAAAATGAGCGGCAGTACCATTTTTCATCTAATTTATAGGTAAAAGTTTTTTCCTGCGTAATCGTTTTTTTTTTTTTTTTCAGCAATCTCTGTTCGGATACAGCGCTTATTTGGAAAATAAAAAAGCGGTAGACAGAACTCAGTGTTTGTTTAATGTGGGTCTCAACCGGTGTAAACTGAAGGAGTGACTACAACAAACAGGATCTTCACGATGACCGCTTTTGTGCTTCAGTTGTTTGTTTGAGGTCTATCAACAGATATCATGGATTAACTGGTTGTCCGGTAAAGGTGTCAATCTTCTTTTTCAAATTTTTAAAATTTTTTCCAATTCTGTTTTGCCGAATGACAGCTATAACTAATATTTTGTAAACTGTGTGCCGAAAAAGTTACCAAATAAGCCACCTGGTATTTAAAGGATAACTTGCATTCATTCTTAGCAATTCTTGGATTTTCATTTTTTAAGAAAGATGTGAAATTTCTGACTGTCAAATAATTTGTTCTGATTTTCTGATGTTGTCTAAGTGTCATATTTTTTCTTCTTTTACTACTTCTTTTTTGATGTTCAAAGTTTATGGTACTGTAGCGAAAAAGATTATAGCTAACACACTTTTCGCTAAATTAAGAAGCATTTTTATCGACATTTTTGAATTATTTATTCGCGCTCTTTGATCTCCTTCATTTTTCGTAGCATTGGATCTGAATCCTCTATAATTACTACTATAAGCGTTATAACCGGAAAACCAATTTTGTAGGCAACCGTAGCCAAATTTGCCGATATGTCAATGAAAGTCTTGGCTTTACTTCTTGTTATCATTTTGTCATCGACAGGTAAGTTAGTCTTCAAAACTTTAAATTAAGTTTATTCGCTAAACTTCTTGTTTGTATATGAATGATTTGAAGAAGATATTTGAATATTTTCCTAGATCCTATGAAAGTTTATCATTTTTTCAAATTTCAATGTCGATAAAAGAATTTATAAGATTCTTTATGTTTCAAAACTACCAGATTTGCTAACTGGAAAAGGGATCAAAGGTGTATTTTATTCTTGCTTGTTTATATTGGTCTTTTTCAGCTTCGGTATTCTCGTTTACTATCACAGCATTAAAAAGGTACCGCTATTCGAATCATACAGATGTGACAACAGTTCCACCCTGTTGCAGCGACTTAATTGGTAGTTTAACGTGCAAAAGGTTGTTGCTGTTAAAAGTTTAACGAAAAATAACAACTTTGCTCTTATGTTTATAATGTAGGTAGGTTACATATTTGAGGCTCAACGATCGCGATCCACTGGTTTTCAATAGGCGCTGTCAGAAAGAAGCAGACTTTTCAATGATTCAGTGCTGCAATTCGTGCGGTCTTGATGATGCTCCAGAAAGATACGCTAAATTCTTCGATGCTGTTAGAATTTTTCACTCATCTTTTAATTTTAAAAAATATCATTTTATTTTGGCAGTTTAGTCTTCTGATTAGGAGATCGACTTTTTTTGCTTTATAAGAAACAACTGGAACTGGCCATTCTTATCAAACACTGATTTGAACTAGTAATTAATCAGAAAAAAATTTATTTACTTCACCAGATAAAGATCACATGAGTAAAAGTTTGATGATAAGGTTGATGAATTAAGTCTGAAAAAAAAATGCTCAGTTACGTTTAACTTACATCTTTTGCCTTTTAGAATACAGACTCAGAGCATTGTTTTGACAGAATGTCTCCAAACTTCTGTGCGAAATTCTTGAATAAACGTGACTTCTGGTCGAGCAGTATCTGGTCGTGTGATGGGATAAGTGCAAACGTTAGTTTTTATTCTCTTCGTAAATAACGAAGCGAATTTGGCAGAGATTAAATTTTCTGTATTGTAGATTAATTATCAACGTCTGAAAAAGAATTAGCTTAAAAGATACGTTTTTTTCCTTTTAGTTAATAAATTTTTTTGTTTTTTTGAAATGCTCTATCAGATATCTAAAAAAATTAGTAGTTATTTTCAGATGTAACATGCAGCTACAGGTAGTTAAGATTTTTTTCCATTTCTTTAAAAGTAGATTTCTTTTGGGAGATTATGTTCAGCAGTGATGAACACACTTCGGATGGGCTTTTTGAGTAAGAAGAATTGTGTGCTAAATGAAGTGAAAATGGAGTTATTTTATGGTGCAGTAGGCGACTGAAGTACAGTAGTACAAAATTTTATCTGTAACTAAGAACCATCTCATAAAGTAGTCACATGCTATGATGTAACGGGTTTCAAATTCGTAGTTTAGTTTAGTCTTTAAACATAAGTTTATTTTCTCGTTTTTTTCGCTGAAGCTTGGCTTGTGTTATGAACTGTAAACGTTGATTAGGTTTCTTAATTTCATATTTGTGTAAATTTTACTTAATTTCCTTTTTAACTATATTTTCTGACCTATCTTAGTCAGTAAGGTATACTTACTTATTACTTTGCATGGGAGCAGTTTACTGTAGCTCCAATTCTATTTTTTTTAATTTTTTTCTGAAAGAAATACTGTCATCAAGTTGATATGTGTATAAGTTTTAGAGTAGCACTAATTTTTTAACTTTTACTGAGTAAACAATGATTTTAGTTGGCTTTTCGAATTTGTCGGCGTACCTGTGGTTTTTGTAACAAAAATCTGTACTCAAAAGATGATGGATACTATCAGCCAACACCATGCGGTATAGCTCCCGAATTTATACCATATTCAAAAAAAGCCGAGATGTTGAAACGCTATAAATCAAATTCATTTTAATGCTTTTGAACTGTTAATTTATTATGTCTTTTCATTCGCAAAAGCCTTTTTTTTTTTTTTTGTTAGTTATTTGTTGCCTTTCTTTCACACTAATTAATTACAGAAGAAGTAAAATGGTTTTTGAAAACTATTCTAGAGCTTTAAATAGAAATTGAAGATGTGTAGGTCTTTATGTCGTTTAGCCGTGTAGCATTTGTTTTTTATCTTAATCGTGCATTATTTCACACGTGTAACGAATGTTAACAAAAAACTGACAGGGATTTTTGAATTAGGAAAGAAATATCATCTTTTTTTATTTTCCTATCAGTAAAAAAATTCGACTTTAAAATACTTCCACACCAAATAGTTTCTGACTGATGTGATTTATTTAAAGTATTCATGTGATCGGATGAACAATGGTATACAACTTTTAGCATAGACTTTCTTTTGCTGCCACTGATCGAAGATCCTGAATCTTACATAGACAACTCTTTAGAGGTAATGATCATAGGCTGCCAGACTGGCAGTGACTGTCTGTTAACAGACCACAAGAATTTCATCTGAAATTATTATGAAGGCTTTAAAGAAAATTTTTTGCTCAAAAATATCTTATTAGTATCCAAATTGAAAAGCCATTAGCATTAAAAAGTTTTTTTGTCAGCATGCACATTTCTATTCAAGAAGCACATGATATTACATTGGAAATTACATCTAATGCATGAAAATTAGTTGTTGAACAGCCAAAAAAAAAAGAAAAGGCTATATGTTATAATTTATCGTTTCTTTCTTTCTGCTACATGCAGTAAAAACGCTTTGGGCTTATTGCTGCTAATTTAAAGACTAAATGTTGAACCAGTTTATTGTTGGGGCATTTTCCTATCACATGAAAAGAGGGAAAATTGTTGAAAGGGTTGAAGGTGATGCAGACGGCAGTGATCCGGATGATGATGATGAAGGTAATGATGTAAAAGAGGAAATTTAATAAGTTTATTGACTATGAGGAAACCAGGTAACTGTTTCTTCTTGGAAATAAGTCTTTTTAGTTGCTTCCTTCATTTTTATCGAATGCTATACGGAAAAATTTTCTTTTCAAAACAAAAAAAAAAAAAACGAATGAAGTCCTTTCTTGCTTTAATTTTTCATTACAGAACAAGAAATGTAAGAAATATAGCAGAAATGTTTCTTCTCTCTGTGCATATTGACGAAAATAACAAAGGGAGACAAAAAATCAAGGCTTTTTTCTGGTAAGCAATTATAAATTAGTCCTAATTTATGGGCACCTGCTATTGTTGTCGCTTCGTTAGTCTGTTTTTGCTATCACTACTGATGTCAGTAGTTTTGTTTGCGAGACAATAACTTTTTCAACAAATTAAGGATAATGATCTTTTTTCATACAATATATGTTTTATTCTTTTTGTTGGCTTGAAAAATTTCTGTATCTTTTTCTTTTTTTTCCCACTAACTTTAGTTTCAATTTGTGTTTCTCTTGTTTTGTTTTCTTTTAAATGCCGGTGTTATTGGGTTTTTATGACAAAAGAAACACACTAAATAACTGGTAAACAACGACCAGTTAAAAGAAGTTTTTCTACTTTATTGATGATTCTGATCAGTGATTAACACAACGGTAATCGGGAATAACAACAACGATAATAAATCTGATAATTGTAATATTGGGGAAAAATTAAATTCAGCGATATAGAGGATCGATTGTAACGATGACGGAGACAGTAATGATGAAAACAAAAGAAATCAGAGATTAATTTCTTTTTGTTTTTTTGTCTAAATTAAAATCATTTCCACAGCAAAACATTTTTGTTGTTGAGAGCTGTTCAGGTAGGGTTCCCAGTTTTAAGAATCCAAAAATGTCGTCCTGTTTTTTTTTCTTTTTTTTTTTTGAACCTGTCATTAACAACAGATAGGTT